GACTGCTGTCCTGCACCAAGTGGAGCGCAGCCTCCATGAGGAGAGAACTCAAACAAATATCACACTCCTTCTGCGTGATTCCCCCAAGCACTTCTTCAGGCAGCTGCTATGGGGGTCACTCACAGGCTTAGGCCTGCCTGTTGCGGGCATAACACAGCAGCAGGGCTTAAAACTCAGACAGGGCCACCCAGAGGATTCAGGGGGCCTGGGGCAAAGCAATTTCGGGGGCCCCTTCCATAAAAAAAGTTGCAATACTATAGTAACATGTATTTGGAAATGTAAAAAATAACTAGTGAAATACATTAAAAAATTAATTTGTAATAATTTGAAAATACACTACATACATTATTTAAAAACATTAAAAGCTGTAATGGTATGTATACATTTGCAATTACATAATGGGCTGTCGCTGGGTGATGGTGATGGTTGGTACCAATGGGCTGTTGCTGCCTGGGGGTGGTGCTGCTGTTGTCCAGGGCTAGGTGGGGAGCTGGGCTCTGGGTTCGGGAGTGCCCGGCTCACAGGGGCTGGGCTCAGGGATGTGGAGAGATGGGGTCAGGGGGGTATCCGGCTCAGAGGGGCTGGGCTCAGAGCTGGGGGTCAGGGCTGTGGGGAGGATGGGGCCGGGGAGTTTCCGGCTCAGAGGGACTGGGCTCGGAGCTGGGGGTCAGGGCTGAGGGGGGATGGAGTTGGGGGGGTGCCCGGCCCCTTACCATGCCGCTTACCCCCTCTCCCAGGAGCCTCCGACATCCTCGTGGGGCAGGGGGAGCCTCCGACATACTCATGGGGGCCCCTGCGGGGCCTGGGGCAAATTGTCCCACTTGCCCCCTCCTCTGGGCAGCCCTGAACTCAGATACCGGGCATGACAGAGGCTGGAGCAGGGAGAGGGGGGCACTGGGGCAACTCAGCTCTGCAGGCTGCCCCTTTCCAGCCACCCACACACAAGGGGAGCAGGAGCAGGGACCAGCCAAGGACCAAGGGGGCAGGAGCACAGGCGCCTGAGGCCGAGCTGTGGGGGGAAGCGCTTACCTTGCCCAAGGCAGGGGCGTCGGGGTCCTCTGTCTTCCTCCGCTCCACCAGACTGCCGCCTGAGGCTCTTTTCTTCTCCGTGCCCCCCGCTGGGGCTGACCGTGGAGGCTGAGCCAGGAGGCAGCCAGCGGCCCCTTTCCTCCGGAAGCCCTGCTGAGTCGTGCCTGTCGCTGGGCTTGTGCCACGTGCCGTACGCAGAGCTGCGGAGCTCTGCCCAGCCGCCGGTGCCCCCGCCGGCCATGAGAAGAATGGCATGGGATGGAGCGGCTGCTGCGCTTGGAGGGAGAGGGAGTCTGAGCTGCTGGCAGGCAGCCCAAGGGTTCCCCTGGGTCTGCGCGCCGCCGGCAGCCGGGGTTCCCTTGTGTCCGCGCGCCGCCGACAGCCCAGGGGTTTTAATGAACTTTGACTCCTAAATTAGCAGATTTACTTGTAAATGCTCAGAAAATTCATTCTGCACTTTGAGTAATTGCTGAATGTTTGCAGAGGATATGCTGTATTTTTCATACATGACAAAAAGGTTGATTCCCTTCTCCAAGAGCAAAATGGAACTCAACTTTAACTCTTGTCATGACTGATGCCTTCCTAATATTTTCAGATTTCACCTGTGGTAAACATCACAAACTCCTTTTTATAGGGCCATGGCGAAAAGCTTCATTTTTGTTTGTTTATAGTGCGTTTATGGCACTACTAGCTGTAATACTTGAATGTCTTTTCTTGCACTCTGGCTTCACGTGCAAATTGCTGGAAGATGACAAAGCTTCTACTGGCTCTGATAAATAAGAAAACAATGAATTGTAAAAACATAGGATTAGAAAGGACCTCAGTAGGTCATCTACTCCAATCCCTTGCACTGAGGCAGGACTAAGTATTATCTAGATCATACCTGACAGGTGTTTGTCTAACCCACTCTTAAAAATCCCCAGTGACGGGGATTCCACAACCTCCCTAGAATATTTGTGCCAGTACTTAATTACCCTTACAGTTAGGAAGTTTTTCCTAATGTCTAAAATAAATATCCCTTGGTGCAATTTAAGACCATTCCTTCTTATTCTGTCCTCACTGAATAAAGAGAATAATTTATCACCCTCCTCTTTATAACAACCTGATATGTACTTCAAGTCTGTTATCATGTCGCCGCCCTGTCTTCTCTTCTCCAGACCAAACAAACCCATTTTTTTCAATCTTTCCTCATAGGTCAAGTTTTCCACAACTTTAATTATTTTTGTTGCTTTTCTATTGCCTCTTTTTCCAGTGTGTCCCCATCTATCCTGAACTCTGGTGCCCAGAGCTGGACACAATAGTCCAATAAAAGTAGCTATGTGGACCTGCTCCTCCTTTTAGGGAAGTCAATGGGAGCAGGATTAGACCCACTTCAGCTGTGGCCATAAATTGCTAACGAGATTTTTTTTCTCATTCCTTCCTTCTGTCTTTATTCAGAGCATTTAGCAGGTTAATTTGGGTCAGCACATTTTCTACAGTCAGAAAAAGACAATAACTTACGTTCACATGAAACTATGGTAGTGACCCTCTGCTAGTTCTCTAAATAAGGAGTGCCACTTCTCTCTTTTTCCTTGTCCTCAATTCACACTTCCATCCCTGCTGCAGAGGGAACTGCAGGAAATGCAACCTTCGCATTCTGTCACAGGTTAAATTTTTGCCCTTGGACAAGTTGGAGATTTGTTGCCATGAGAAAATTGGGGAGTTTACTTTAGGTTTTAAATGAAAGTTGGATCTGTCATTGACATGTTGTTCAATGGAAGGTGACGCTTCTTTTTAATGGTTGCACTTCTTCCCAGGATGGACAGAGTTTGTAGTGGGAGGGGTCCTTTCATCTCTACCCAAGTGTGAAAAACAACTTTAATTATCACTTTTTCATGAAATTAAAATACTACTTTGGGCTCTAGCTACATAATTTATGATTCAAAGATCCCAAGGCTAGAAGGGACCATTGTGGTTATCTAGTCTGACCTCCTGTACAACACAGGTCATGATCTGGATTTCAACTTCCAAACCTTAGGTGGTGTTTAAATTTAGGATTACAGTTCAGTCCATTATAAAAGTAGGCGCAATTTGCAAAATTCAGAAGGTTAGAATGAGTGTCCTTCTAATTTGAATTGACTGTCATTCTATTACTGTCAAGCCTCACATCCATGTTGTATTTATTGTGCTCT